TCGAGATCTCTCATACAGGTACAAGGTCCAAAGACTTTGGGCCATCCTCAACTGCTTTCCCAGGCCACAAGCAGGGAACTGGATAAGAAGTGGGGCCACCCAGTAATGAACCAGTGCCCATATGGGATCCCACTGCATGCAGGGTGAGGACTTTAGCTGCTAGGCTGCCAGGATGGGGCCCCGAGCTCAGGATCTTATACATGCTGGCAGTTGCCATGACCCTTAGAATGTATGTGTTGGGACAGGGTCTCCATAGTTGCTGCTGCCTGTGCAGTGGTTGATATGCCCAGACAGCCAGCTCCATAGGGCCAGCAAGGGAGGTCTAGTCCCTGTCAGAGGATGCAAAGCAGCATAGGTTGGATCACTTTGCTTTACAACATACTCTTGGTCCTGGAAATACATTAAAGTGAACCTGGTAAGTCAAGAGACTTGGAAAGATTTTCCCAGATCTGGTGCAACAAAACCAATGACATCTCAGAACTATCAAAACCACACAAATAACACTTCAAAACACTCTTCCCCACATCGTGGTCTCTAAGGCATCATCAAAGAACCATACCCTATCCCTGGGTGCCAATATAGTTTGACAAGGAGTGTCCCTCCTTTTCCTTCTGTGGACATGGTGGGAAAAAATTAAAACATTTGTCCCACCGTCCTTCCTCACTATCTTAACCCTTCCCATCATAATCGGAGATCGAGAGGGGCATATTTTAACTATGAAAAGTTTAATTTAATGTTGAAATATATTGTGTTTTTTTTTACCAAGAGTTAACAATTCAACAAACATCAACATATTCAAAGAAGGGGAAAATGATCAGTGCACTGAACAAAAGGTCCGTTTTTCTGAAGTCACACTTCTGCAGAGTTTAGAGCACTCAAAAGTGTAAAAACATGTAAACAGAAAAATGAACTGCTGTCAGCCTTCTCTATCAGAATGTACACAGTGGCAAAAGCAAGAATTAGTAAGATTACAGATAGAAAACCCCGTAGACGTGTAATACATGTGGAAAAACACTTTGAAAGTTTCAGCAAGAGCTAAAGAATTCAAGCGAGCAGGAAGCATTGTATATCTGAATCAGGCGGTGTTCTTCAAATCTTTGTTCAAGATGCAATCTGTACTTGTTCTCCCGTTGAATAGGAAAAATGCAAACGAGCTCTGCTTTCAGGTTTTAATTTTGGAAACAAATAAATATTTAATTCATAACAAAAAAGTAATTTATTGTTGCAAGCCAGAATAAAGTGTTCTTTTCTTCTAAAAATTTATATCCCTTATGTTTTCCATAATTCTTAAATCCCAAATGCTTCCAAGAGATTTTCCTGTTAATTTCCCTGTTGACTAACATGTTATCCTAATCCATATCAATGACATTGGATTATTTCTATAAGTTCTTTAAATTGGCTTAGAGGGGAGCTGTAATTCTAGTACAAGGGATAAGACATAATTCAAATCTATATAAAAATGAAACTTTACAGAATAGTGTGCTATGGTCTGGGGGGATGGGGAGGGAGAGCAAGAAAAGCCAGTGGGAGATTCATCCACGTGCTTATTGTACCAAATTAGCCCCTGTGAGTATGTAGGCTGGAAATTCCCAAATTCATGATTAATCCAACTGGGAGTCAGAAAGATACAATCAGGCACTTGTTGATATCCCTTTCCACAAGTGCCCAGATAGGGGAAATTTATCTACTTTTTTTTAAGATTTATTCATTTTTATTGGAAAGTCAGATATACAGAGAGGAGGCTATTCCATTCGCTGCTCTGCTTCCCCAGGTAGTCACAAAGACCAGAACTGAGCCCATATGAAACCAAGAGCCAGGAGCCTCTTGTGGGTCTCCCATGCAGATGTAGGGTCCCAAGGCTTTAGGCAGACCTCAGGTGCTTTTCCAGGTCACAAGCAGGGAGCTAACTGGCAATTGGGGCTAACAGGATTTTTTTAGAACTGGCATCCATACAGGATCCAGGTGCATACGAGAAGAGGGCTTTAGCCACTAGAATACCATGCCAGGCCCAAGTCTTTCTTCTTAAGTAAAGTTCTACCATTTATGCTATTCAAGTCTTCAATGGAGCTGATAATGGCACACCACACATACTAGGAAGGGCAATGAGTTCTACTCATTTGACTCATTAAAACAGTTATTTCTTCTGAGATAACTTTATAGAAACAGGGCAGATAATGTTAATACAAATATCAGTGTATCCTATGACCCAATGCAATTGACATATAAAATAAAGTATCACAATGAATTTTTATGTTTTTTTCTTTTTTAAATATTGCTTATAATTTAAAGTGTTTGACACAACATTTTATATGTACATTTTATATGAAAGTGATTAATGAAACTAAGAAAATTGACCTATCTCTAAGCTAATACTTTTTTTAAACAAAAACATATTTGGTGAAATACATTAAAAATAGAAACCCTGCAGACTGTCATTTCTTGGGTTCTGTCATTTATATCTGCTAGCTCTTTTTCCACTTTTATTTTAAAAAAAGCTATATATATGTAAATATATAGATATAGATATACAATTTTTTTTGCTTTTCAATACCCAAGAAAAAGCATTGCCATTTAAACTGATTTCTATGTATGCCTCACTTTTCCATCTGTCCTTAAAAGCACCTCATCACTACCAGCTTGCATTACTTCCTCCCACTGAAAGTCTTTAATTAGATGCCCCACTGCTCTGTAATTACACAAACAGAGTTGAACTCCATCTCACAATTGGATTTAAACTAAAATATTCTCCAAATGTAAATGATAGGCAATGAAACATTTTCACTTACCTATAATTTGGGGGGGGTCATTTAAATATTTTAACATACATAATTTGAATATGCAATTCTTTTACTGATGTTGCGAATGCCAAATGGCTAAACACATCTGGTCAACACCACTATTATTTTCAGGGACACTGATATTCCTGTTAATATTTTCTTTTGCTATAATGCATTTTAGTGGAAATTTTCATTTCAAGGTCAAGAATGTAAATAACACCCCAAAATTTCAGACACAACCCCAGTGACACGAACCAGTGCCCACATGGGATACCGGCAAGTACAAAGTATGGACTTTAGCCAGTAGGTTACCACACCTGGACCTCAACAATCATTTTCAATGTAAGAAATAGGAAATTAGGTTTCTAATATTAAGGTTGGGTGGATGTTGATGTAATTTTTTTTAAAGATTTATTTTTATTATTTTTTTATTGGAAAGGCGGATATGCAGAGAGGAGAGACAGAGAGGAAGATCTTCCATCCAATGATTCACTCCCCAAGTGAGCACAACGGCCTTTGCTATGCTGATCTGAAGCCAGGAGCCTCTTCTGGGTCTCCCACGCGGGTGCAGGGTCCCAAAGCTTTGGGCCGTCCTCGACTGCTTTCCCGGGCCACAGGCAGGGAGTTGGAAGGGAAGTGGGGCTGCCGGGATAGAACTGGCACCCATATGGGATCCTGGGCGTGCAAGGCGAGGACCTTAACCACTTGCGCCACCGCGCCGGGCCCAATGTTGATGTAATTTTAAAAACCGATACTGATTTTCAATATCTAAAGCAACACTGAGACTCACATTATATGCCAATAATCAGTGAACTTTCAACACTGGGCATTCTTAACAGTGATCTAATACCCACCTCTGATCTAAGACAGATGATTAGAGAAGGAAGGCCAAAGCAGAGTGACAGCTCTGGCTGTCTAGTACCATTATGGAGAAATCTTTCCAAGTAGTAGAAGCTGGCACCTAAGTTGGATTTATTTCCAGGAAAGGGCAGACAATTTTAGCTTGCATCAGTGGATTTGGGCACATCTATGTATTCACAAACAACATATAAGCTATTCATTTCTTCCTCTGAATGTGTGTTTCAATCATGTGTTTTGTTTTACTTTCACAATGTAATGGTATCATGTTACCGTTACATGCATATGCTATACATAGGATAGCAAATTACTTTTTTTACTTTCTTATGTGTAATTGGATCAACGAGAGTCATAGTTTGAACAAAGGCAGAAAAATGAGAAGCATCTAGAGATACATTATTTTCAATATAGTAAAAGATAAGAATGTGTGAGCTTACATTTTGATGACCTTGGAAAAATGATGTGAATTTATCATGTTCCTGAAAATAATAAGGAACACCAAGTTATGGGAGAATGACAAAGGAAGATGGTTGTTGCTTCTTCACAAGATCTAGTCTACACTTTTTCTTTAAGCAATTTAGAGAATAGAAGCTGCATTTCTTTTATTTTCTCGGAAACAACCTTAGGCAAAACATTCACCAGTATTATACAAAAAAGTGATGGCATAAATTCTTTATGGCTTCCAAACAAGAAAATGCCTTGTTCTCCATTTTGTCTTTTTTTGTTTGTTTGTTTCTACATATATAATTCAAATGAGTTGCTGTGGAACAAGCTTTCACAAAACAACTGAGAAATCAAGATACACAACAGGAAGTAAGAGGTAAGGGCCAGCTTTTCCTGGCTTTTAAGAACTGCTTGAGAGACTTATAAAAATGTGAGATAATTGCTAAATGTAAGCATTTTTAAAAGTTTTATATATATACAATATATATGTTTAAGGTGAAAAATGCTTCCAGAGCCTATAGAACAATATCATGAAACAACAAAATAAATTTTTAAAAGGCACCATTTTTGTAATGTTTTAGCACATGTGAATGTTGTCTATGATCTTAAGATTCTATTGAGGGAAATGCCAGGCTGCTGCCTGTCTCTCCACTGTTCTGTATTTAGAGATGCCCCATTGAATGTAATTTGAAATAGAGTTGTTCAAATCACAGAATGCAGAAAATGTCACAAATAAGTTTGCATTGCTTTGTTGCTTGCTGTCTGCGATTAAAATAATAATGCAGAAAATGTTACTAACGCAGCTTAAACTTTGAAGTATATTACACTTGTAGCTTTACCATTGTGAATAGCAGAAGAAAATGAATATACAGCACTTTAGTATGTGCCACCCGGTTCAGCAAAGAAAATTATTCATACTATGTGCTCACTTCAGCAGCACATAAACTAAAACTGGAATGAGACAGAGAAGATCAGCATGGCCCCTGTGCAAAGAATGTTATTCGTGCCATGGAGCAATTCAAGCTGTAACATGCATCATCAATGTTTCCTTTTGCTCAGTCTTTCCTAATGTAAGTAAAATATAAAATATTATCAGTTACAATTGCACTTGAAGTGTTGGCCATCAAATATTTGTCAACATGCTACCCACCATAGGGGTTGATGGATGGGAAAGTTCCTGTGTATAACCAAGATACTTGGAGGAATATATAAAACCAAGTCTTCTGACAGTTTGACCTGCATGTTTGTGAAAGAAAAACAAGCTTCTAGAATGTTTAAACCACAGCATTTTGGGTGATTTGTTTTGGAAGAGCTCTTGCATATATTTAAAAATAAATTAAATGATTGAAAAAAATCAGGTTAAATTGAAGGCTCAAAAGTCCAAGAAACACGGCCTTCTTCCAGGCTTATGCATCAGGATCAGCCCTTGTTTTCTATGGGTATCTCCAGAGCTCTTCTCATGTACCCGGTACCCTCCTTCTCATCCTAGTGAATGACAGTGATCCCCTGCAACTTCTCAACTTGGACTGATATTTTAGATATAACTCATACGTTCTATAATTTTCTTAACCCTCTTAAAAAAAAAAAGAAAAAGTATTGTTGTGTTGTCATATTAAGGCCAAGTGAAGGAGATTATTCTCCTTACTCATATTTCCCTAACACATGGTCCTAGGAAGTATTTATAATAGGGTAGGGCCTGTTATCATGTTGGTTCCTCAAGGGTATCATCACAGGTATTAGATCACAAAAGCAAAATTCTCTGTAAGAGTCAGAGCCACTTACATCAACCTGCCTGTAGAAAAGCCTCCAAATGCCTCTTGTTGCACGTCTGCCACTTTAGCAATCCTTGAGAGATCAGTGGAACAGTGCTCATATATGCTTAAGTGATTGGGTCTGTCTCGGTTGATCTTGAATAATCAAAAGTGTAAAAACATTGTATAAGTCCTATTTATGTATTTTTATCCCCCTATTAATACAAACATACACCAGATTTACCTATTTATAGATGCTTTTCAAAAATCGTTTATTCCATATTTGCAATACTCATATTTGCAATTGTGGTTTATCTTTAGAAACAATTGGAATACGTATGTTAATACTTTATCCTGGAATTAAAATTAGTGTATATCTTTTATTTGCTTGAAGTAATTAAAAGAGTTATTTCGTCCCTATAATCTAAAAAAGTGCTTTGTATGTACAACACCAGAGATAGTGTTACTGAAAACAACAGGCAAATTAAAAAGCTGCAGCAAAGTCAATTCATTTTGAGAAACTGCAGAGTTTAGGTTCTGAAAAGCATTTACAGGAGATTTGTGTTGACGAACAATTCGAAGAAGCGAATTGGTCAATATGATGGATTCTGACTGGGTAGATAGGAGTTAAATTCTATCAAAGGGGTGCATGTTGGTTTGTCACGAAACAGGTGTTTTGGATATATTCCTATGTTCATAGCAGCACAATCAGTAATTGCTAAAACATGGAAGCAACCGAAATGCCCATCAGCAGAAGATTGGATAAGAAAGCTTTGGTTCATCTACTCCATGGAATACTACTCAGCTATTAAAAAAAAAAAAAAAAAAAAAAAACAAAATGGGACCCGGCGCGGTGGCGCAAGTGGTTAAGGTCCTCGCCTCGCACGCCCAGGATCCCATATGGGCGCCAGTTCTAATCCCGGCAGCCCCACTTCCCTTCCAGCTCCCTGCCTGTGGCCTGGGAAAGCAGTTGAGGACGGCCCAAAGCTTTGGGACCCTGCACCCACGTGGGAGACCCGGAAGAGTCTCCTGGCTTCTGACTGGCATAGCATCGGCCGTTGCGCTCTCTTGGGGAGTGAATCATCGGATGGAAGATCTTCCTCTCTGTCTCTCCTCTCTGTATATCCACCTTTCCAATAAAAATAAATAAATAAATAAATAAATAATTTAAAAAAAATGCAGTTCTTTGTGACTAAATGGGCCCAACTGGAAACTATAATGCTAAGGGAAATGAGTGAATCCCAAAAGGTTAGATACCACATGTTTGCCTTAATTTAACCAGTAATTTTTGTTTGTTTGTTTGTTTATTTGTTTTTGAACCTGTCATTAACACTGTCTCAACCCATGTGTTGTGCAAAATTGAACTTGCATTATTTTTAACATATTGTTTACTCAATACTATGTCCATCAATTCCATAACATTGTATTTGTTGCTGATGTTTTGTTGGGGCTTTTAACTGACCGGGACTTTACTCTGTTAGCTCTACCTTCAGACCAGAGAAGGTCTCCCCTAGAAGCTGCTGAACTTATCTGGACAATAAGATGCTGGACTCTATGCTAGGTATATGCTTGCAATGAAGGAATCCCAACTGAACTTGAACCATGATTATGCAGCAAGGTGGAGGAATCCACCATGGGGGTAGGGTAGTGGGAGGGGTGGAGGGAATCCCAGTGCCTATAAAACTGTATCACATGATACAATGTTATTAACAATGAAAAAATTCTATCAAAGATAATATGGATGCAATCAGAGAAAGAATCGAACACTATGATATTCAATTATTTCACGTTAATCCACATACCTTTGTATTAATATGATGAGGTGATTTCAGTGAACAAAGGGATAACACATTTTTATTTAAAGTAAACAGTGGCTTAAATATGATTTTAATGACCCTTTTTACAAGCTATGAGATCGGATTTGCATCAATGGAAATAACTAACAGTCTGATATATTATTAATTGCCTTTGCTTTGCTAAGTGTCATCAAATGGGCTCTATTCCATGCAGTATGCACTTTACTAAAATTCATATTCTGTCCTCAGATGGGTAACCGTGTTTCAACCAAATGTATTTAATACATCAACTACAGCAATCACTCAAATGCACATATTGTCTGAAACAAATTGTGAATATAATTTATAAAATTACCCTGATCTTTCCATTATTAATGCACCTAGACATATTCTGCACACAATTCATTGATTTTAAAATGTTCAAATTTTATTTTTCCAGAAGTTTGAATTCTGTCCAATTCTGGACACTCAGAGAATGTGAAAAGCAGGAGTTGTGCCCACTGTCTTCTGCTTGATAGGGAACAGGCACCACTCTGGGAACAGGTGTCTCCCTCATTCTCTTTGCCAGCTTCTCGTCCACTGCCAAGTTTATCTGGATGTGTTAGTAGTGCTGCAGCAGTTGATACCCTCCCTTGCATTTGGCTCAAGACCTTCCTCATATGGTTTTCAGAAAGAAATGTGAAAGAGATAAATACGAGGCATATTCGCAACTACAGACATTGGGAAATTGTCCAAAATGTTGAATAATCATGTTGAATGATGGGAAGCAATCATACAGCCTCTTCTTATTCAAGGAAGAGAGCAAATTGGTTCTATGAATTCATGGAGAGAACCATGCACTTACAGTGCTATGATACTCAATAGAAAAAAACAGATGAAATATACATATTAGAAATAGAAAAAATCTGAATTTTTTAACCCAGTTCTGTGCATCTATGCGTATGTATAATGTGAAAAATTGTTCTGAATATGTATGCGGGAGCAATTTAACATAGCATTTATGTAAACTTGCCTCAATCTAGAATAGTATTTTAATTACGTAGGTTGTTAAAGCTGAATCTGTTCTGTAAATATGTGTACTATTTAAAGAAGTAGGGTTAGAGAGAAGTAGACATGAAGATCTCATAAGCAAATGTCTATAGATAGAAATAAGCATGGGAAATGTGAATTCTGTGAGTAAGGAAACTATATCAAATTGTGAGAGGATAGTGAACACGGAACTTGACAAGGATGTTACATGCTACAGACCACACAACCTGAAGATAGCAAGAAATAATGCTCACAGGAAAGCATACTTAGGGAGCAAGTGAATAATGGAAAGTTAGGAAATTGAAGCAGAGAAAATATGTTATAAATAAAGGTGAAATGAAAAAGTAGAAGTTAGTACAATACTAGTTGTTGTTGATAGTTGCTTTGCTTAACTGAATTATGAGAACCTTCACTTGAAAAGATGCACTTTTATGTTTCAATTATTCTATGATTAGCAGAATACAAACCCTGGCACATTAGCTATGATATATTTGATTATAAGCAATCTTACTTATGAGATGCTAAAGTGTGAAATGAAAGTATGTAATTTACTAGATACATTTTAAATAATAATGTTTGCTATTTAATAAGCGTATCTCACTGTTACAAATTGTATTCATTGTTTTATATATATTTATTAGAACAAATCGCTATGAGATATTGTTAATATTATTATAATAGGGAGACTTTTTAATCTTATTTCTAAAATGTGAAAAAGTTGAGCCTTAAACAAGCTAAACAACATCTCCTTGGCTCTATAGTCAGACTAAAAGAGAGAATTGGGATTTTAACTTAAATCATCTAATTTTAGAATTTATAGATAAAATGCTGAGGAACTATAACATACTTATGGGTGGTAAAATAAACTAATATTACCAGATATTCTGTCAAAGATCTAAGGAAACATTATAAAGAGTTAAATCTAGCAGGAAAAGCAGAAAATCATGCATTTTCTAAATTTTCTCATGTACAAAACGAGAATAAAAGAGGCTATGTTGACAGTAATGGGCAATTTTCAGAAGTACATCTAGTTTCAGAGAACATGTTTGTTTAGAAAAAGCTGAGTTTAAAATCGCATCAAAGTAATAAATCTACATTGTCACTTAGTATTTGCATATATAAGAGTGAAGTAATGTTGAAAAGTCAGGAGGCAGTGCATAAAGTGGTGCTTAAGGCCATGAGAAGAAATCAATCACATTGTGTGAAAATTTAAGGAGCGCAAGAGACAAAGAATGAATATTTGAGCATAAAGCAAAGTTCTGAATCAAGAGGGAAAATGCCAGGTGCAGAGAAAAAGAAATTAGTTGGAAAGGACAGAATAACTAGAATAATAAAAAGATGCATAGATCAAGAGAGTCTAAAGAATTGAAGAGATTTAATCAAATGAATTAAGAAAAGGTTATTGAATTTGGGTAGGCAGGTGGTGATATTAAGAGAATAATTGCAGTGGTAG